TTTTTTTATATAAAAGTTAACAATAAAATTATCTTTACACGAAGTTAAAAGCGTTAAAAAATCAAAAAATTCAAAAATCGCCGGGATCGATTACAAAAACCTTAATTTCTTGTAAATTCTAGAATTGCAAAAGAAATAAAAGTCAGAGTTTTCTCGTCTTTTCTTCTTTTTACGGTAGGTTATTGTAAATATCTTCTGTAAACTTTCAACTTTCAGTTTCACTTTTGCCAAGCTCAAATTGATTCGGAATCAGCGTAAAAAAAACTCTATCAGATCGGCTTGGTCTTGTCCCAAAAGCCCACAAAAAAGGGATCGATTCCAAAACACACTTAACCTTAACTTGCCAATATTCCCTAGTGAGATCCAGAGTGCTTAGCCAGTCGACTATTGTAATCATCTTCTGTAAACTTTCAATCAGGTTTCACTTTTGCCGAGCTCAAATTGATTCGGGAGCAGCTTAAAAAACTCTATTAGATCGGCTTGGTGTCGTTCAAAAAGCTCATCTTAACTTGCCTTAACAATCAAATAACAATCAAAAAGCCCACCTTAACTGCCTAGTAAGATAGGCGCTTAGCCAGTCGACTATTGTAATCAACTTCTGTAAACTTTCAATCAGGTTTCACTTTTGCCCAGCTCAAATTGATCAGTTGTCTTACAATCAAAAATTTGATCTCATTAAAATAATCAATCTTTTGGTGGTAAACTATTCTTTTTTCGTTTCTCAGAGCCTTTTGTTTGTCGCTTTTTCAACAAAAAAGCCCTTTTGTTTTAAAATTTGACAAAAAGAGGTCGTCGTCGTCGTCGTCGTCGTTAAACGTCATCGTTTATTCTTTTTAAAATGCAAAGTGTTCTATTCTTAACTGAAAATAGTTTAAAAGAATCTTTTTTCTTTTCTTTAGCTTACTATTCGATTGAAATTTTTAATGCAGATGATTGCTGAGTTTCGAACTTTCAAATATCTTCTTTCAAACTCCAAAAATCCGTTCTCAACAAAAGCTGAGTGTCTGTGAAATCTTTGGGCGTTTGGTGAATTTTAAAGAACACTCCGCAGCCTAGCAACTTGACTATTGGGTTTAAGATCTGATTTTTTTTTGGGAATTCTTAGGATTATGCCTTTAAATTTGAATCACCGTAATCAAACAATCCGTTTTCCAAATAATCCGTTTTCTAAAACGTTTCCCTTTCTCTTTCTACCGTAGCCTTGTCTCTATTCTTTTATCTAATCAATCCTCTTTTTGTGCTTTAGACTTTTTGTAGCTTTTTCTAGCTTTTGTAGCTTTTTGTAGCTTTTTGTAGCTTTCGATATCGATGTAGCTTTGTAGCTTTCGATATTCTTTGTGAACTCTCAGAGAATCAAGTCAATTAGTAGATTCATTAGACAAAAATAGAGACAAGTTTACGGTAGAAAGGGAAAATGTTTTAGAAACATAAACAAAACACTCAAATCCATTTTCTAAAACATTTTTGACTCGTCTCTCGATATCTTTCTGAACCAAAAATCAAGCCAAAAGGAAATTGGATAAAAAATAGAGACAAGTTTACAGTAGAAAGGGAAAATGTTTTAGAAAACGAACTCGAGACGAATGAAATGGACGGAAATGAACTGAAATCTGAACTGAAATCATTCCTAACTCTTTCTTCTAACAGATTTCTCCATTTTTTGTTCTCTGCAATAACGAAATGGCCTTAAATCTGGCCATTTTGTTGGTCAAATCAGAAATGGAAAAGAATTTCCCCTTTTTGCTGATGCTTTTTCTAATTTTAGCTTTTAGACAAACTCGATTTTAGATCTATTTTAGCAAAAAACTACCGTAATTCACCCGTTTCCATTCGAACAACGTTTCCATAGTTCCGTTCGATCAAGAGAATCACAAGGCTCACCTATTGATACCAAAATTGAGCTCATCTAATGTAAATTGACAGCTAGATTACGGTAGGTTGCTTAAAATTGATGTAACTTAGCAAACTATTGAATAAAATGAACACAATCTAGCCACCGCTATAGCAAATTCGCTTCAGACAAAAAGAAAGCTTTTGATAAAAACAAAACAATAGAAATAGCTAATCTTTTATACAAAAAGGTGTGAAGAAGGCCGATTTATGAATTTCCAATTCAATTTATCGATTTTTGATGAATCTTTTTATCTTTTTATTGAAAATTATTATATTATAGAAGAAGGTGTCTTTGATAGCCTGAGTCGTCAAAAGCTTTCTTTTGTCTGAAGTTTGTCTGAAGCGAAGTTGTTATAGCGGTGGCTAGATTGTGTTCATTTTATTCGCTCTCATAAAACGAACTTTTTTGACAAAACAAACCATTAAACTGACTTTTTTAGTCAAAAGACAATAAAACATTCAAAAGATTACTCTTCAGGGAAAGAACCCTAGTTCTTACTAAAGCTTTTTATTAGACAATGAACAAAAACGGCAAGTATTAACTGTTCAGAAAGAACTTGAACTTTAATTCATCCACTGAATTCCTTATAGCTTTTGCAAAAGTTATATATTCAAATTTATAGAATTTATGTATAAATATATTTATTTATTTATATATAAACTCAGCCTTTTTCGTGATCTTTTGAATTTGATGCCTTTCCCCCGTTTTCCCTGTCTTTTCCCCTTCATCAAGAGCTGATCTAATGTAAATTGACAGCTAGATTATGGTAGTTTGCTTAAAATAACTTAGCAAACGATTGAATAAAATGAACACAATCCAGCCAGCGCTATAGCAAATTCGCTTCAGACAAAAGAAAAAAGAAAAAAAGCTTTTGGAAAACAGTCTAACGACCGCTACAGCAACTTTCTTTGTTTAAAAAAAAAATATATATATTTATTTGCACCCAATCATGCCCAAAAAAATGCGAGATCTTTTTTACAAAATTCTACGCCGAAATTTGACCTATTTCTCTTCCAAATTGGCAAGAAAAAATGCGATTCTATGCTTTCAAAATGTTTTACATAGCAAAAAGCTTCTAGTTTTTTTTATGAAAGCGATTTTTAGAAAAGTTTTTTCTAGTTTTTTTTTGTATGAAAAAGCATTACTTTAATCCGTTCATTTCATTCGTCTTTAACGTCTTTAAAGTTACTTTAACTTTATTTAAAGTAAAGTAACACCCAAGCTCGAGTAAGTCACGAGTAAAGTTCTGCCTAATTTACATTCGCTTAATTGCTTTGAATCTTTTTGTTGGGTTTTTATTGTTATATAAACTTTTATTATTGTTCTTGGGCGCGGGAACCAGGGGACAGCCATCACCATGCTATTTTATGTGCGGGATACACCAGAGAAGGTTGAAGAGACGCTGGAAAGCACTCTTTCGACGTCGGGAACTTTGGCCGGAGAGGGCCAGAGGGATCCATAAGACGGACCGGAGAGGAGAGGAGCCGAGCCACGCCGAGCAACAAATAACAGCAAAAATTGCTAACCCCAATAAATTACTTCTATTATTGTTCTAAAGCAAAGTTAGCTGCAGCGGGGTTCGAACCCCCGACACACGCACCGGAGAAGCGTCAATTTGATGGAAAACAAAAGAATTATACTGCGACTTTAGGGTATTTATTTAAATTTTGATTTTCTAATAGAATCTTTTGTCATTTTGATTGGCAGAGAAATTATTGAAAAAAAAACTAATATGCAAAGCTAACTCTTTTCCATTTTTTTTCTTCTTTTAGTCCATTTCCTTGCTCATAAACTCTTCAAAAAAGATAACACTTCAAAACACTTCGAAAAGGTGTGAAGAAGGCCGATTTATGACTTTCCAATTCAATCTATCCATTTTTGATAAATAATCCTTTTTTTTTCTATTAGAAATCATTGTAATTCGTAGTTTAAAAAAACAGAAAAAGATAAATAATCAAATCTAGCTTTTGGATAGCTAAAGTTTTGTGGGCTAAGCAAAGAAAAGACTATGGAATACCATAAAAGGTCAGGTCTGAAGTCAGGTTCTGTAATGGTGGCCAGGCCAGTGGCAGTTAAGCCAACTTAAGTCAAGGCTAGGGATAGAGCCAGATTCAAAGGCAAGGTTTAGTAAAGTAGCCTTTAATATTTCTGATTTACTCTTTTTTATTAGCTCCTTCGAATATGATATCAGAAAGATAAGATAAAATAAGATAAAACCTAGATCTTCTAGATTAAAACCTACCGTAAATACTATAATAGTACCCCACCCCCATAATGACGGTGTTTTTCTAGGTAATTTTAGGGCGTAGAATCGAAATTTTGACATAACAGAGCTTGTGGAAACAAACGGACGGAGTTATACAAAGAGAAAAATCGACAATTTTCTGTAATTTGACCTAGTGTCTTTCAAATTGGTTCCACACGCTCTGTTATGCCAAAATTTCGATTCTACGCCCTCAAATTACCTAGAAAAACAACTTTCGGAACAGAAATTGGTTAATATTAACTTTTTAGAGCTTTTTTAAAACGGGAAAAAGGTGCGCTAATGGGCAAGGTGCGGAAAAAAAGGTGCGGAAATGTCCGGGTGCACAAAAAAAAGGTCGCATTTGTCCTACTCCCATCTTTTATTTTCCTAAAACAAGATTGAAATGCTTTTGACATAAATGGCGATTTTTATAAAGAAAAAAATCAATCACAATTTACTGATTCGTTTATTAGCTAAGTATTCATTGATAAACAAAGATTTCAAAAAAGTGAACAAGATTTTCCGGCGAAAACAATCGTTTCCCCATCCTCAACTACTTCAAACATTAATTTAAAGAGCGCTGATTAAAGAGCGCTGATTAAAGAGCTCTGATGAAAGAGCGCTGGTTAAAGAACGCTGCTTGAAGAGCGCTGATTAAAGAGCGCTGATTAAAGAGCACTGATTAAAGAGCGCTGACTAAAGAGCGCTGATTAAAGAGCGCTGATTAAAGAGATGCTTAAGTTAAGAACTCCTGTCATAGCATTAAGTATTGGGTTGGTGAATTGAAAACTGCGGGACTTTGAACTAAGATTTATTCAACAAAAAACCATCAATTCATTCCACAAAGATCCTTTATAGATAATGGTAACAAATTGTTCATATCACGCTTTGGAAGAGCAAAAAGATGAAGAAAAGGAGATCATTGTTGAGGAAGAGAAGAAAATACATTCAACAATTGCAGGTTAGTGAGCAGAATTCCGTGTACTTGTGCTCATAAGCACACCCTTTCTGGTGCACTGAATTCTTTAGCTTACTATTAGGTCGAGGAAAAAGTTCTGACTCAGTTGCGAAAAATTCAATTTTTCTGCATTTTTTGCTGGTTTTTGCGCTTATACCCATCTTGATCTTATACCATTAGAAATCATTGTAATTCGTAGTTTAAATTCGCTTATACCCATTCGCTTATACCCATTTGCTTATACCCATTCGCTTATACCCATTTGCTTATACCCATTCGCTTATACCCATTCGCTTATACCCATTTGCTTATACCCATTCGCTTATACCCATTTGCTTATACCCATTTGCTTATACCCATTTGCTTATACCCATTCGCTTATACCCATTCGCTTGTACCCATTCGCTTGTACCCATTCGCTTGTACCCATTCGCTTGTACCCATTCGCTTGTACCCATTCGCTTATACCCTTCTTGATGTATTTCAGATGAGTTTGCAAGAAAAAGAGCTTCGAGTTTTGATCCGCTATTGCTGGAAACGAAAATTTTTAGCAAAAGATACCGTGGAAGAGATTTGCGATGCTGAAGGTGAAGGAACTGTAAGTCAATCAAAATTTTGAAGATGGTACAGTCTTCAAGACACGAACCTCAAGGCTCAAGGCTCAAGACTTACCGCGTTCCGGTCGACCGTCAAAGTTGGATGATCATTGCAGCATTTCCTGAAAGATCGTCGATTCAAGTCATTTGAAGAAGTTGAAAAAGCTTGAAAAAAGAGTTCTTTGATTCGAAACCGAAGAAGTGGTGCTTCGACCAGATCCGAAAGTTTGCCGATCGATTGCAGAAAGTCGTAGTGATAATGAGGGGTTATACTTTCAGGAATTGCTGTAGTTGTTGTTGTTGGTGTTGTTGTTCTGGTTGTTGAATAATTGTTGTTACTTTTGTTATTAAATTGCGCCTAAAAATTGAATTTTTCGCAGCTAAGTCAGAACTTTTTCCTCGACCTAGTAATAACAACATCTATCAAATGAAACGTTTAGTTTATTCAGTTTAATTTATTCAGTTTAATTTATTCAGTTTAGTTAAAGAGTTTCGCGAAGATATAGCTCTTCTCCGCGCGTTGGCGATTTTGGCTGTTCTTGGCTATCATTTTTGGCCAACAATTTTCCCGCTGGGATTCATTGGAGTCGACATGTAAGTACAACTGGAGTACGACTGGTTTTTTTTGATTTTTAAACCTGTTTTCTACTTGGTAGACTCGATAAAATGAATAGGTTCAAACGATTTGCCGACCCTGAAAACCAGTACAGTTGAATGAGTTTTTTTTAAAGCTGAATGTCTTTTCTTACAGCTGAGTATCTTTTCTTTAAAGCTAAATATCTTTTTTACAGCCTACTACAAAGCAAAAGAGGGGAGTGGGACAAATGCGACCTTTTTTTTTGCGCACCCGGACATTTGCGCACCTTTTTTTCCGCACCTTGCCCATTAGCGCACCTTTTTTCGCGTTTTAAGCTCTAAAAGCTCTAAAAAAGCTCGAAAAAGCTAATATTAACCAATTTCTATTCCAAAAGTTGTTTTTCTAGGTAATTTTAGGGCGTAGAATCGAAATTTTGGCATATCCGAGCTTGTGGAACCAATCGGAATTAGACAAAACGAGAAAGATCGACAATTTTCTGTAATGGGATCTAGCCGTTTTGTCTTTCAAATTGGTTAATAGCTCGGATATGCCAAAATGCTCGGATATGCCAAAATTTCGATTCTACGCCCTAAAATTACCTAGAAAAACAACTTTTGGAATAGAAATTGGTTAATATTAGCTTTTTCGAGCTTTTTTAGAGCTTTTAGAGCTTAAAACGTGAAAAAAGGTGCGTTAATGGGCAAGGTCCGGAAAAAAAGGTGCGCAAATGTCCGGGTGCGCAAAAAAAGGTCGCATTTGTCCCACTCCCCCGCAAAAGAGATCTTTGCCTCAAATTTGTTAGTATTTTTTTTTCTATAAAACTCGAAAATGAGCCAAAATTTGCAAACCATTTTCCGTCAAATATCTTCAATCTTTCAGTTTTTTTGTGATCTCCGGCTTCTTGATTATGCGTATTCTCGAATCACTGAAAAACGAGCGACTAGATCGGGTTTTTCTCTCATTTTACTATCGCCGAGTGAAGCGAATCCTTCCACTCTACTACTTAATTGTGTTTTTCATAGGTAAATAAAGAAAATTTCCCAAAAAACATTGAAAACTTTCAGGTTTTTCAATGCTATTTCTCTATACAGCTGTCTGGGCTCAACGTTATTTTCGTTTCTATTTCGGCGCGATTTTTTTCTTCCCCAATTTTCAACTACAACAAGCCGAGGGGAACTATTTCTCGGAGGTACAATTGACTGATGACATGCAGTTCTTTTTCGTAGTTTAGCTAACAGTTTATCATTGTATCTAAAGACTAGAGATTTAGACTCATTTCTACAAATTTCTGAAATGAAAAGGAAAAGTTTAGGCTACGGAAAAAATGCCATTTCTTCACTCATGGTCTCTCGGTGTCGAGATGCAATTTTATCTTGTCGCTCCGTTTTTATTCTACATCTCAAAAATGGAAATTGCTCAATCAATGGGATATTTGAGTAAGACAAAAGCTTAGCTAGCTTAGGTTAGCTTAGCTTAGCTTATCTAGCTAGCTAGCTTAGCTTATCTAGCTAGCTTTCAAATTCTAGAAGCAAAAGCCTATTTTTCAATTCTTGAATATTCTTTTCCGATCATTTTTTCCATTGTTCAAAGTAAACGATTGAATGAGCCCTGAGAACGACGCATCGAGCCCTTGAAAGGAATCTCCTCGGGTAAAATAGGAAGACGCAGCTCGACCAAGACCTAAGAAGTACGGATATGCGCCAGCTCTCGGGACTCAAAGATCCAGTGGAAGTGATTGAGAGAAAAAGACTCAGATGGGCCGGCCACGTAGCCAGAAGAATAGCCAGAAGAACAGACGACAGATGGACGATACGGATCACAGAGTGGCTACCACGAGACCAGAAGAGGCCCATCGGAAGACCAGCAACGAGGTGGAGCACAAGAGTGGCAGAGACGGTGAGAGAAAGGATGGCTAGAGTGCAACCACCACCAACACCAGCAAGTCGAAGACTTCGAACCAGCAACAATCAAGATAGGAAACACTGGATGACAATAGCAAGGAATAGAGAAATGTGGAAGCAGGTTGTGATCTGCGCAAAATAGGAACACCTGAGTGCGAAGACAGATCAAAAAATAAAAAAAAGTAAACTGCTTTAAAAGATTGAACTTCAGAGCTTGGCCCAGTGTTTCTGCTATGCTTTCTACTTTTTTCTTTATATTTTCATTTCTTTTCTCTTCCAATCGTTTCATTCTATCATCCACTCGCGAGAGGATGGCAATTTCTGTGCGGAATGATCACCACATTGTATACAGAAAGTATGAAAACGAGTAAGTTGTATGGAATTGGAAAAATCGACTCTTTCCTATTGGGTTGTCCAGTTATGAATGCGCGTTTTTCACTATTTTGTAAATTTCTCAAGATAACGAAATCAAGAAAAAGATATATATGAGTATTATTCGAAAGCTGAAGATCTCCTCTACATTTTGATATAAAAAGTTCTTGAATTTGTTCAGCTTGGGGCAAATTGACTGCACAGAAGAAGAGGTGGCCAAAAAAAATGGAAGGGTGCCTTTGGAGCAAGTTTTGGCTCCGCTCAAATTGAGTTAACCGTTTGATGTTTGGCCAATAGATATATCAATACAACTTTTTTAAAAATATAACAATTTCAGAGCATCTTTACTTTTCTGGGCGGTTATTTTACACCATAAAACTTGAGGAATAGCTAAGTTGTGATGGCTGGGATGGCTTGAGGAATAGCAAAGCTGGGATGGCTTGAGGAATAGCAAAGCTGGGATGGCTTGAGGAATAGCAAAGCTGGGATGGCTGGGATGGCTTGAGGAATAGCTAAGCTGGGATGGCTGGAATGGCTTGAGGAATAGCTAAGCTGGGATGGCTGGGATGGCTGGGATGGCTTGAGGAATAGCTAAGCTGGGATGGCTGGGATGGCTGGGATGGCTTGAGGAATAGCTAAGCTGGGATGGCTGGGATGGCTTGAGGAATAGCAAAGCTGGGATGGCTTGAGGAATAGCAAAGCTGGGATGGCTTGAGGAATAGCAAAGCTGGGATGGCTGGAATGGCTTGAGGAATAGCTAAGCTGGGATGGCTGGAATGGCTTGAGGAATAGCTAAGTTGGGATGGCTGGAATGGCTTGAGGAATAGCTAAGCTGGGATGGCTGGGATGGCTTGAGGAATAGCTAAGCTGGGATGGCTGGGATGGCTTGAGGAATAGCTAAGCTGGGATGGCTGGAATGGCTTGAGGAATAGCTAAGCTGGAATGGGTTTTTTCGAAAACGACCTCTCCCTTTGTGCAGTCAATTTGCCCAAAAGCTGAACAAATTCCAAAGCTTTTTATATCAAAATGTAGAGGAGATCTTCGGCTTTCGAATGATATATAACACTCATATACATCTGTTCGATATCTTGGGAAATTTACAAAATAGTAAACTGGACAACTGGACAACCCAATATTAGGCTGAAAGTCTTTTCGTTTCTTTTTGTATTTTAAAACCGTTTAAAACGTTTAAAACCAACAACTGCATGAATTAAACTACGGTTTCATTAGAAAAGTCAATTATTATAAAGATATTCAGCCGTTTAACTGATTTGGTGGCAAATTCCTTTCAAATGTAAAGATATTCAATTTACTCAACGTGTAAAGAGGACTAACTCGTAGTTAGTAGACGAAAAACGAGTAAAATGCGTAAAAATTACTCATAAAAGTTTGGGGGTGGGACAAATGCAACGTTTTTTTACGCACTCGGCAAAAACCGCACCTGAAACCGCACCTTTTTCGCTGGAAAAGGCCTTAGGTAATTATATGGAAACATTTTTAAATCCATAGAACTTCAAAAATGTTTCCATATAGGAAGCGTATGCGTAGATTCCGAATTTCGAAAAATCAGGCCTCGCTGACAGGTTAAATTTGGACTAAAAGGCAAAAACTGTGGAAAACGTGGAAAGCGTTAAGTTCACCGTTAAAGTACCCGATTTTTTTAAAGGTAATAGGAAAGAGCCAAAAATCTAATCAATAACTTGAGACGAGACTTGATGACCTTGAATTCATAAAGATTTTAGCGTTGACTCGAAAACAATCTGATATTCTCTCGGTGATCTATTTAATCAACACCTCTCTTCTATTCTTTCCATTTCCCGACAAAGTCACTCCACCGCATTTCTTCCAAATCTTAATCACCATCTCGTCAGCTGGTTTTATTCTTTTTTCAACGAATTGGTTGGTGAAAGTGGCGTTATAAGCGATACTTTATAATCGATAATCTTTATAATCGATACTTTATAAGCGATACTTTATAAGCGATACTTTATAAGCGATAAACTTTATAATCAATAAACTTTATAATCAATAATCTTTATAATCAATAAACTTTATAATCGATAATCTTTATAATCAATAAACATAAAGTTTCAATCAATCAATATTCATCAATATCAAATCAATTCAATCAATAAACATAAATCAATAAACTTTATAATCTTCTACCTTGTTTAAACAAAAGTTTATATCCTTTGTCTTTAGTTCAATCTCGTGGTCTCGTTTCCGCCTCGGGTACATTGCGCGGATCTCCTACGCTCTCTATTTAGTTCATTTCCCGATTCTTCGCTTTACTGAATACCTTCAACAATATTATAATAAAGATTTTGATGGTGAGTTGGGGGAAAGAAAGAGGGGAAAGAAAGAGTAAAGTGGGAAAAGAGTAAGTTCAAATTTTGTAATTGTTATAAATTAGAGATCTAAAATATTCTTCTAAATTTCCTTTGAGAGTCAAATTTGAAATAAACTCTTTTCTCGTGACTATAAGCTCTTTTAATGCACCAAAAAGCGTATGTTTTCAATAGTTCAATATTTCAATGACCAAATAATGCAGTTACAGTAAAAACCTAGCCAAATCTAGCCAACTCTAGCCTTTTTAGTCCCCCTCGTCTCCCTTGTGATCACTTTTCTTCTCTCCATCGTTGCCCATCACTTCTTCGAGGCTCCACTCCTTCGAGTCGGAAAACTTAAAATCTTCCTATCAACACTCAAATATTTTGCACTTTGTTTGTTGATTGGATTCAATTGGAAGAAGATTGTTCATCCCGATTGCGGTTTGTCACTTAACACATTAACAAATCCACGTACGGCTCATCAGTAAGCCGTATGTCGACTTATTTGAGGCCAATTGAGCTGAAAATTTACACTAGAATGTTTTCCAAGGCAAGGAATTCGAATCCGTTATTAGTTTTTGAAGAAAACTGCTTTATTTTTAGATAAGCTGCTCCAAAACGCTTCAAAGCGCTCCAAAGAAAGTTGCTCCAGAGCGTAATGCTTTTAGCGTGCTCAAAATGAAGCTCAAAGCCTTGAAAAATCTCAAATAATAAAAGCGACCCGATCAAAAGATTTAAAAAGTGAATAGAGACAGGATTACGGTAGAAAGAAAGAGAAATGATTTGGAAAGCGTTTTAAAAAAAAGAGACTCAGGTTTAGGACTCCACATCATCTTCATCCTCTACGAGAAGGCTTTGCTCAAAGCCTTGAAAGCTCAAAGCCTTGAAAGCTCAAAGCCTTGAAAGCTCAAAGCCTTGAAAGCTCAAAGCCTTGAAAGCTCAAAGCCTTGAAAGCTCAAAGCCTTGAAAGCTCAAAGCCTTGAAAGCTCAAAGCCTTGAAAGCTCAAAGCCTTGAAAGCTCAAAGCCTTGAAAGCTCAAAGCTCAAAGCTCAAAGCCTTGAAAAATCTCAAATAATAAAAGCTTCATCAAAAGATCAAAAGATTTAAAAAGTGATTACGGTAGAAAGAAAGAGAAATGATTTGGAAAATGTTTAAAAAAAAGAGACTCGAGCTATTTCTATTAAAGTTTCAATTACTTTCGTGAGATAAGAGAATGAAAGTTTCAAAATCTCTTTTATCTTTCGAGCTAAACTAAAGTGTTCATTTAAATAAAGTATTCATTCATATAAAGTGTTCATTTCCATCACCAAACAATAAATAAATCTGAATTCACCAAATTACAATCTATAATCAACAAAGTTGATTATAGATTGTAATTTGGTCCAGAGCGTAATGCTTTCAGCGTGCTCAAAATGAAACTCAATGCTTTAAATGGAATTTAATCTGATAGACGATAGATGATCATCTGTTAATAATGAAATTGATTCCATTTCAGCGCAAAAGTCTACAATCAGCGAGAATCAGAAATTCATCCAATCATTGTATCGGCTAGAGGGTGGGCACTTTGTCGATGATGGTTTCATGCGGCCGAGTCCACCATTCGGGCATTATCTTTATGAGGTAAACAAAAAGACAGAATTTGCTATTAGTGCTTTAAAATAAACAGGTTTTCCTTACCCATATGGCAATTTGTTTCACAGATTTGTTCTTGAAATGTTTGGATATTTTGAGATTTCAAGTGAGATCAGAGAGTTTTCAGGGTGATACGGGTAAGCTGAAGATCATGATTCTTGGAAACTCGTGGGCGACTGGAGAGGCGCATGTGAGTGGCCTATTTTTACAATTATCTAGATTCTGCATATACACTTAGCCAGTTTTTACTGTTAAGTTCTTACTTTCTAACCTTTATCCTTAAATTTGTATTTCTTTTTGTAGCTCCACTCTAGCTTTGTAGCTCCACTCTAGCTTTGTAGCTCCACCAGCAGCACACTTTAGCTTGTAGCTCCACTCTAGCTTTGTAGCTCCACTCTAGCTTTGTAGCTACTACTTTAGCTTTGTAGCTCCACTCTAGCTTTCTAGCTCCACTCTAGCTTTGTAGCTCCACTCTAGCTTTGTAGCTCCACTCTAGCTTGTAGCCCACCAGCGAGCCCACCAGCTGTAGCCCACTCAGCTTTGTAGCCCACTCTAGCTTTGTAGCTCCACTCCAGCTTTGTAGCCCACTCTAGCTTTGTAGCCCACCTAGCTTTGTAGCCCACTCTAGCTTTCTAGCCCACCTAGCTTTGTAGCCCACCAGCTTTGTAGCTCTACTTTAGCTGTAGCACTACTTAGCTGTAGCCCACTCTAGCTTTGTAGCCACCAGCTTTCTAGCCCACCAGCTTTGTAGCTCCACTCAGCTTGTAGCCTACCTAGCTTTGTAGCTACTACTTTAGCTTTGTAGCCCACTCTAGCTTGAGCCCCACTCAGCTTGTAGCCCACTCTAGCTTTGTAGCTCCACCAGCTGTAGCTCCACCAGCTTTGTAGCCCACTCTAGCTTGTAGCCCACCAGCTTTGTAGCCCACTCCTAGCTTTGTAGCCCACCCCAGCTTTCTAGCTCCACTCAGCTTAGCCCACCTAGCTTGTAGCTCTACTTTAGCTTTGTAGCTACTACTTTAGCTTTGTAGCTCCACTCTAGCTTTGTAGCTCCACTCTAGCTTTCTAGCTCCACATCCCCCTTTAAGCGCACTATTTCTTTGGTTAGGATCTCTTATCTCTCTTTCAAACAAGGCTCCTAAAACAATATTGTTTATCGAAGTTGCCGTAATGATGGAGGATTGGCTCTGATGAGCTCTATCACAGCAATTGGCAATGATAAATGTAATACTTGAAGAGAATTTGAAACTTATGATTATGAAACGTGTGATATGAGCTTATAAACTTTATGAGCTCATATCTATGAGCTTATAAACTTTCTGGACCAATGAATTTTCTGGAAAAGAAACACTACTAATGATGTTTTTACAAGAAACAATAAAAATGGATGAGCAATAAATGATAAAATGGGTTGACGGGGGTACAAAGACAGCTCAAATTTCGATAGCATTTTGCTAGAGATAGCAAAAAGACAGCTCGAATTTTGACCATAAAATGAATTGTATCCTAACTTTTAAGTCATTTCCTTATAACAAACTTGAGAGAAACATTTGGTGGTCGAATTTGTGGCTAGATTCACCACAAATTCTTTAACTTTAGTCATTTATTGTATTAGATTAGGTTTAGTTTGGCCATGGGTCAGGTCCATGGGCCAGGTCCAAGGGCCAGGTCAAGGCAGGGTAGAGCTTTGAGGCAGACTTTTTGCGATTTGTGAAGATTTGATAAACATAAAAACTAATTTTGCAATTTGACTGGCGCAGCTACGGTAATTTAACTATAGAATCGACTTGTTTGCTAGTCGCTAATCGTTAGATCGTGTTGGTGAACCTGGATCCTGCCTTTAGGTAGACTGGCCAATCTATGATTACTACAAATTCCAGTTGATACGAAACTATTTCTCAAAGAAAGACGTCTATCAAATGCACCTTTTCTCTCAACCCGGACACACGTTTGGCCTACATGGAGAGAGTCCCAAAGTAGCAAGTAAGTATTTCAAAGTTTATTGTACATAAAATTTACAATTCTCGAGCAAATCCCGTACTTTATGAGTTTCTTGAAGAAATTTCAGCCGGATTATGTTTTCTTGCTTGTAAGGTGAGCTCAAAGAATCTAGAAATCTCGATCAGCTTTCCTAGGTACAACAATGATGCAACGAATCGCGATTTGACGAATTTTCAAGGGGCAAACGATCAAATACTTGACAATTATTTGAGGGGAATTCACAATATTAGGTAAGAGCTCATAAGAAACAAGATAAGTGTAAGAAATATATTTACTTTGTGAACTGGGTAATTGTGTGGGTAATTGTGCGGGTAATTGTGCGGGTAATTGTGCGCCATCCTGTAAAAAGCTTGTTGCTCTTGTTTAACCTTGTTTAGTCTTTTTTAGTATTTTTACTACACTACTGGACAATGAAATATCATATTTGAAAAAAGATCGTCACTTTCGCGCGTCTGTAACTCCCTTGTCTTTACCGTATTTCTAAATATTAATCTTACCATTGTGTAGCCCTTGAAAAGAGCTTTCAGAAAATGTATAACACTAAAAGTTTAAACTCAAAGATAACGGAGTTACAGACGCGCGAAAGTGACGATCTTTTTTCTAATATGATATTTCATTGTCCAGTAGTGTAGCTACTAAGTTAGTTGAAGGGAAGTCAATTTTTTTCTTCAAAACTACTTTTTCTGAAATAGTTTTATGCGTAGATTCCGAAAAACACAACGAGAACTTGGGGAAATGCATTTTAAGCCTAGTTTTGGGGCTCAAAAAGCTTCTATAGTGTATTTTACTATATGGAGCCAAAGCTATCGACTATTTGGCCACTTTTTAAGGTCAAAACTAGAGCTAAAACCACTGTAAGTGTAAGTACTGTAAGTGTAAGAAATATATTTACTTTGATCTTTATAATTTCTTGTGAGACCGTGTCTCGGTGTGGTTTAATGGTCGATGTCTTGAAAAAGCACAATTTATCACAAACTTTCCCTTATTAGGGTAAACTTCGCTCAAACTGGAGCAACTATCACAAGCTGGCACTATCACAATTACTTCAACACTTGCGTGTGAATAAGGGATGAATAGAAAAAGGAGCACACGATTGACTCAAAATCGCGCTTAAATAATGGGTTTTTAAGTACAAAAGCTACGACAAACGGACAACTGAATCTCGTCTAGTGGCTGATTACGGTAGTTTATCCATCAACTCAAAACAAAGCTTAAATAATAGGTTTTTAAGGCTTGTGTATTGAATTTTGACTAACTGGAGAGCAGTGGCGAATTGCCTTATTGTGGCAATTCGCCAATTCGCCAAGAGCCTTTACCGTATAAATGATTTGCGTATTGGTCAAGTTAGTTATCAAATAGAAAACATTTTTTTCTACCGTAATCCTTTCTCTATTCTGCCTCCTATTCATAAATTAAACCAATTTTTAGTCTATTCACCAAAAAACTCTTTCTTCAAACACATCAACCATTCGATTGTCAGGGTAAAGAAAAAGAAATTATCAATCGTTTCGTTGACTCTTTGCAGAAAGAAGAAAATATGCAACACTTCAATCGACCGTTTAATGTAAGGCAAATTATTGTTTACATCATGTAAACTTCGGCTCTTGCTTTGTTTTCGGGTATATTGAACGGATCGTCACGTTTTGATGGTCTATAACTTTGTCCAGTGATCTTATTTTTGTTAACTTTTTATATCATTGTACAGAGGACATTTCAGGCTTTCAGATGATACCAAATAGAGCTTGACTGAATTTTCCATTCCCATGCAAACAAGGTGAAACGACACCCGAGTTGGATAGGCCTCATTTGCTCAGAGTTGGCTCAGATTTTGGACTAAATTAAAACTAACTAAAAAGTTGGACTAAATTCTCCAATCAAGCTCTATTTGGTATCATTTGAAAGCCTGAAATGTCATCTGTACAATGATATAAAAAGTTAACAAAAATATGATCTCTGGACAAAGTTATAGGCCATCAAAGTTTGACGATTCGTTCAATATACCCGAAAACTAAGCAAAAGGCCAAATTTCTTTAAATGATACAATTTTAAGCTGTTTAGGGGCATTTTTTGAAACTTTTTAGGTGACCGCTTTCTACAATAGTTCTGTGCATCAACGGTTGAAGATCGTTTTTGAAAAGTGCTCAAATTGTTACCCGATAGACATCGCTGAGCCATTTATCGGTGCGTTGAAATCAAAATTGAGTTAGGATTTACGTTCAGATTTCAAACGCAAAGAATTGTTGGTTTTCGACGTGAACACTCAATTGTTGTACATCGACACTCAATGTCATCTCACCGTATCGGGGTTGAAGATGATCGAGAAACCGTTGAGATTATCGATCGAAAATGGAATCAATTCGAAGAAGAGCAATACATAGAGCTTATAAATATTCGGATTTTTGTAAATTTTAATAAAAAAATCTTTATTATCTATAAAAGTATATAAAAAGAGAGTAAATATCATTTTTGTTTTATACCCGCTTAAGGAAGAAAATTATAGAATGGATAAGAGAGGAGGAATAAATGAATAGATGAATAGATGAATAGATGTTAAAGAATAGATGTTAATGTCTCAATTTAAAGCCAGCAAAAAGTAAAGGTCACTGTTAACATTGTCAATAAATGGGTGGCTGAAAATTACGTGCGCGCAGCATCTGACATAGTTTTAAACAATGTATAAAGCATTACTACTCATCTTTTTGTGTTTTAATATTCTTTTTATCGTTGTCTATTAAGTTTTCGTTAAAAAAGTTGTTTTCTAGGTCATGACAAAGGCAAAGACGAAGACAAAGACGTCTAAGAAGACCCTTCATCACGATTGGGCGCCGGCCCACAGAGCCAAAACAACAATTCGCTTTCTCCAAACCAAAATTGGCCAGTTGAGACGCAATCGCACAGCGGTATGAAGAACTCATCGATCGCATCGGGGCTTGGGGTGGCTCTGTGGACCGTCCAGAAGATCGTAAAGCAATTGAAAGAGGAGGACATGGGACATGTTCAGTCCAAGCCCGGAAGAGGAGGAAAGAGGACCGTTAACACTCCCGAAAGAGGAGCCATCCCAATTTGACCCTTCAACAGGATTGGGCGCCGGCCCACAGAGCCAAAACAACAATTCGCTTGCTTTAAACCAAAATTGGCTCTTTTTGACGAAGGATCAATGGCCTGCAAACAGCCCGGATCTCAATCCGTTAGACTTTTCGGTTTGGGGTTTTATGGAAGAACAATTGAGAAATAGGAAAATCAACAATTTGAATGATTTGCGTCAAGAATTGATCAAAATCTGGAACGACTTAGATGCAAATTATCTCCGCCGCACCGTCGATTCTGTAAAGAAGCGAATTGAAGCCTGTATCAAAGCGGATGGAGGCCACTTTGAAAATTTCTTGTAATTATTTAATATTTTAGTTATAACTATTATATAAATAAATATTTTTGTTACAACTATCATATAAATAAAGATTTTTACATGTTCTTTAAAAGAAAATTAAATTATGGCGTTTTCTTTCGCGCACTTAATTTTCAGCCACCCTGTACAATGATAAGAATGATAAGAATGATAAAAAGTAAGATTATAACTCATCTAGCATTATTTTACAAGTGTTATTCTCTATTTCCAAATAACCATAATCATTTCGAGATGTTTCCAATATTTTGTACAATTCCTCGCGAATCTCGATGAAATCCGGTCGTTTATCGGGCCTCCATTCCCAACAACGTTTCATCAAAGATTTTCTGGACTTGTTTATTTAATATATTGAATTTTTAAACACCTTTTAGATCAGTTTAATCCTTTTTATACTAAATTCTGTCTTTTTCTTTTCAAAACTCACAATATTACTGGACAATCAGGCGCTTCTAAACGAGCTCCTTTCCTTAAATGAGCAAGCATTTCATCGGGAAGAACGGTGATGTAAGGAGTGAGTCCCCAAGAATAGACTTCGTACAGGAAAACACCGTATGACCAACTAAAATTCGATTTAATACAAGAAAAATGAAGAGTTTAAAAGAATCGCTCAAAGAAATGGCTATAATCGCTTAAAATCGCTTTGATTCAATTATTGAAAACACCGCTCAGTAACTCACATATCGGATCTAATCGAGAATTGTGCAAATTCCAATGATTCTGGAGCCATCCATTTGATCGGCAATCGACCGCCACGCGTTGTGTACAATGTGATCTCATTGAAACGGCATAAACCAAAATCGCTTAACTAAATTGATTGATTGATAAACTGAAGTCGAGTAGATGAGATTTTTCTCAAAATTTCTTTGATCCTTTGAATTTTTAGTGTTAAAAGGAGCACGTGTGGCTGACTGGTTAAGTGTCTTTTATCTTAATCGGAAGGTCGAGGGTTCGAACCCCACATGCGACATGGTCACCCCCTTCGGATTTCCTTTCCCTTCGGGTTGAGAGGTTTTCTGGAGGGCAGTCTGGTGGTTGTGGCCCCAGTTCTTTAAAGTGACAAGCCACTCCTTCATCGTCATCTTCCCTTCACCACCAAAAAAGCTATTTAGTTCCCCATTGAGCTTAGGGTTAGGGAGCCGTCTGTCATGACGTGGGTTAAGTTAAGATATAGCCTAGTATTGTGTGTGTCGTTGTATTGTGATTCATATATTTCGTGTATGCGATAAATTCACCACTGGTAGCCCCAGTCGGTATTTTTAATAAACCAAAATCGCTTAACTAAATTGATTGATTGATAAACTGAAGTCGAGTAGATGAGATTTTTCTCAAAATTTCTTTGATCCTTTGAATTTTTAGTGTTAAAAGCTTAGCTTGGCAAGTAGAGTTCGACAAACAAAACCGAAACCAAAACAGATCAGACCAAAACCAAAACCAAAACCAAAACAGACCAAAACCAAAACAAACCAAAACTCAATTTGCATCTAAATTAACATGTAAATTTAAAATTGTAAAATGCAAATTTGCCTTTCACTTTTTCTCACTCCCCAAAATCTCGCGACCGAAAAAAGACCCAAAACACGACCTCGAAATTTCGAAACAAAAAATAGCCTATGGGATTCGAAGAAGGGCAATACATAGGCAATACATAGATTTTTGGACGCTGATTTCAAATCTGCAAACAGATTTTCGCTAGCTCCTCCCAATCGCGAGATATTGGCGAGTTTTGGTTTGTTTTGGTTTTGGTCTGTTTTGGTTTTGGTGGTTTTGGTTTTGGTTTTGGTCTGTTTTGGTTTGTTTTGGTTTGTTTTGGTTTTGGTTTTGGTTTGTTTTGATTTGTTTTGGTGGTTTTGGTTTTGGTTTTGGTCTGTTTTGGTTTGTTTTGGTTTGTTTTGGTTTGTTTTGGTTTTGGTTTGTTTTGGTTTTGGTTAGTTTTGGTTTTGGTTTTGGTTTTGGTCTGTTTTGGTTTGTTTTGGTTTGTTTTGGTTTTGGTTTTGGTCTGTTTTGGTTTTAGTCTGTTTTGGTTTTGGTGGTTTTGGTTTTCGTTAAGTTTTGTTTTACGAAGTCTATTGGCAAGATTTTGTGAAGTTCAGAGTCGAATCGTTTGGAAATTTTGGAAATTTTGGAAATTTGTTCTTTTAAAGTTACCTTTACAACTTTATTCCTTGCAACTAAAACATTTCTCGCAGCAACATCTCGATGAATAATATTTTTAGAAGATAGATAAACCTAGATTTTGAGTACGTTAAAATTCTCTCAATCTCACCAAAGCATCAGCGATTTGCCATGAGATTGGAATGAAATCGGCAGAGTCGAGAAAGTCCTGACAAACAAAAGACAATGATTAGAATGAAATTGAAGCGAATTTAATTGAAAAATGGAATTCACAATGAAATTGATAATGAAATTTGAATGCTTTTCAACTTTAAAACTTTGAGAAATCAAAAAAGATTCTCGTTTTTAGCTGCTCTTATCCCGCTTACAGTTTCTCCACGTATTTGACTCCTCAACAGCTCGAGTAGATCACCTTTCTCGCAAATTTCCGTCACAATGCATGGATGAAAAGGATCTTAAATGTATTGTAGTTAGAGTTTTAGGAATTTCTTTTTAATTTCTCAAAAATCTTTTACCACTCTGACAGCCGAGAAGCGAGGAAAGATGCGGATGATAGCCGAGAGCTTTCATGAAGTTGATCTCTTTCATGAATTCGGATCTGAAAAGATTTTGATGATAATTGATTCTCAATTTTGCATCAAATCTGATAATCAAAACCAAAATTGAACAAAAATTAAGTCGAAAACTTGCAAGGGAGGATAGATAAACCTTCTTACAAAGGAAAGGCAGAGTCAAGCTGGACTTTTGACTCGAGCCAACTCAAGTCCATCTTATAGAGTCGACCATGAGGATGTTGAATCCGTTTTTAGTTTTTGCAAAACGCTTCGTAAACGCATGGTATTTGGCATAGAACATTAGCATGAGTTTCGAGCTCCTTAAAGGCTCTTAAAGCCTTCTTAAAGCCTTCTTAAAGCTGTCACATGTGCCATCAACAACTGCTTTGATGGTCCAGTGGATAGTATGCTAGACCATCGAACCTATTACATTTTTCGGTTCGAGTTTGAGTTCAAGCTCGAGTCCCACTCTCGTCTCTCTCTTGCGAAAGTTCGGTAGTCTAGCAGACTATCCACTAGACTACCGAGCACTTGTTAAGGGAATGTGTGACAGCCCGAACTGTGACAGCTTCTTAAGAAGTCCAAAATCTAGATATCTATCTCGATATCTACCAAAATCAATCTCGCTCTTGCGAAGCGTTCTACAAAATTCAAAAACGGCCGACCCCATGGCCGACTCCATAAGATGAATTTGGTCTTAAGTCAAAAGGCAAACTTGAATTGGCTCGAACTTGACTTGGCCTTATTAGATAACGAACTTATCAGTGTAGGATGCATGTGGATGAGGCTTCTTCACGGCCACTCGATTCTCCGAGCGCTTCAACGAGCAGGATAACTGAATGAGGTCGTTTTATGCATAATAACAAGATTTGATTTTTAGGAATCAATATCTCATCCCCATTTGCCGACTTGAACCAAAACCTTCTTGAACTAGGCAAACAATTCCCAGGCTGATACAGCTTTGAAACGTTTCTACAAGTCAAGTTTCACCTATGGTTCAGGCTTTCCAGAAAACAAACCAAAAGACAATACAGTAAAGTAAATGTGAATGTTTAGTGATGATTTAAAAGGCAGAATGTTATTACTTTATTACTTTACTGTATTGTTATTACTTTATTAGTAATGTTATTACTTTATTACTTTACTGTAGAATCTGCCTTTTAAATCATCACTATAGCTCACTCAACTTTGCAGTTGAAAGTGCATTTTTTCGCAAATTTTCCACACCTGACTACTTCCAAACCTTACTACAGAGTGTCCCAACAACTATTATTGCTTTTTATTTCTTTCTCGTTACCCCGATTGAGATAATTTTCTACCAATCGATAGAAGAAGACATGACGAGTCGAATGATCCAAAAACTATTTCAATCTGGCAACTGTACGCTAAGATATTTGTGTTTAAAGTTTGATTGTCAAGGAAGGAAAAGGCGGGCTCAAATGTTCTCTCTAAGATACCGTATTCTCTCTAATAGTAGTGCACCATAATCGTCGTCTAAATTACTCGAAATCTCGAGAACCGCTTATCAGAACCTATCGATGTGGGGTCGGAAAATGTAGCTGACGATGAGATCTAGTGGGGGGTTAGAGTGTTGAGCTTCTGCGAAAGCTTGGAAACCGTAAAATAGTCATCAACTCGACTCAGCGGGATGCACTGTTATTAGTGAGAATACGGTAATCGTTGTTTCCAATTTTCGGTACTTTTCGCTTATACCCCCACAAGGCTTATTGGCCAACTAAATTAGCATCAAACTATTGTTTTATGTCGTTCAATTTTAGCTATGTTTATTGTAGGTTAGTCTAGAAATATTCCTTGAACGTCTTTTACCCTTAAACTACACATAATTATGTTAATTTGATTTGTTTTTATGGTATGCAAATGTTTGTGGGGGTATAGCCGGCAAGTACCCAATTTTCCCTTATTGTGAATTAAACCTTGTTCTCAATATTTAATCTCAAGTGGCGCTACCCGGCGGTTCCATGGTGTAGCGGTTAGCACTCAGGACTTTGAATCCTGCGACCCGAGTTCGATTCTCGTTGGAACCTAGCTCTTTTTGCTTTTTTTGAAAATTTTTGGTTGAAATGGCTGAAATGAGCTTTTTTTGGAGATAAAGGATTTCAAAAACGGACGTTCAATTTGAATGGTTTCAAAATCAAACGTAACATATACCGTATTTTCTCTAATAGTAGTGCACCAAAAGCTTTGCCTAAATTACTCGAAATCTCGAAAAGCGCTTATCAAAACCCATCGATGTGGGGTCGGAAAATGTAGCTGACGATGAGATCTTGACGATGATTAGAGGGTTGAGCTTCTGCGAAAGCTTGGAAACCGTAAAATCGTCATCAATTCGGCTCGGTGGGGGTGCACTACTATTCGAGAAAATGCGGTAATTGTCAGAACGTTTAGGAAACACTTACCTTTGTCTAATAATGTTTTTCCTAGACCAAGTAACTCCGCGTCGCCTAAATTGCTCGAAATCTCGAGAACCTCTGAAATGCGCCTATTCTCTATTCTCTGCTGCAGTTTCTATTCTTTTGCCAAGATCAAAATACTCACTTGCAATGTTTCAGTGACTTTTAAAACAGGAAGTTGTCCATGTAAAATCCCAACATAAACAACGGCATAAGCGCCGGAGCCGAGCTTCTCATTGGTGATGTGCAGTGAATCATCGTCAATGTCCCATTCATCAAGAGGACTAAATTTTGTTTCAATTACTCTGCAATCTCCGTAAATAGATTTTAAACTCAAAATCTGAAAAAAACGAACTCTCCGTGTCTTTTCTTTCGATATCCACCGAATCCCGAGTAAAGATTCGAGAATCTTCTTGTTCCAGACTTTTCAAGAGTTTCCGGTTCAAGGTTTTTCACGAAGCTAAAAAGTTTTGATGGTTTTCAGAGTTTATGTCTAGAGTTGCAGAGTCATATTGTAAAAGATCCATCAGAATTACTCATTACTGCTATTCTTCGAGTTTTTTTTTGCATGTTTCTTGTATTAATATTGGATTTTTATTGTTTTGTCGATATTGGACATTCCAATTGATGGAATTTCTGCTCATAAGGCTCGTTTCGTCCAAGACTCGTGCCGATAGAACTTCCCGGGCTTCATCGCGTTTGATCAAGCTCCCCGAATCTCAATCCGATGGATTTTTCTGTTTGCTTAGTCCTTGACACAAAATCTTGTCAAAAGCCGAATCGACTCTTTGAAGAAAGCAGAAAGCTTGGGCAAATTTTGACATTACCTACTTGCGTGCTATAGTAGACGCGTTCCCGAAACGTCTGGATTAGACCTGGGAATTTTCGGTGTCAACATCAATTCGAACGGAAAGCCATATCTTAACCAATTTCTTTCCAATCTTTTTTCCTTGATTTCAATCAATAGAAAATGAAATTCTGCGTCAATTGATATCAAAATCAAAAAGATCGGAGTGGAATTGGTCAAGATATGGCAATTTCCGTTGCATGTCCATTGGGGCACAGACAAACAGACAAACAGACAGACAGACAGACAGACGGACGGACGGACGGACGGACAGACATACAGACGGACAGACGGACAGATAGACAGACATACAGACAAACAGACAGACAGACAGACGGACAGGCAGACAGACGGACAGACAAACAGACAGACAGACGAATAGACAGACAGACAGACAGACGTCTTAGTCCCCTTATATAGAGTAGATTATGACTGATCCTGTACAAAAAATCACCAAAATAGCCATTGAGGGCAAATGTGTCGAATACAGTAGACAATGCAAATGAGAAGACCCATAAAAACGACCACTCCCACCGCCAGCAGCCACCAGTAGAACATCTGGGGTGCTGTGTCTAAAACTTACTGTAACTTTGATAGATGATTTGCATTTTGATGCTAATTGTTATCAAAAATATGCTTAGAGCAAAGAGTGCGAAAAATTACAAAGTAATGAGTGTAATGGATTGAACTTTCAGATCTAAATAGTATTGCTATTTAGATTAAAACTTCAATTTTATTTAGCAACCTGACTTTTCGGGACACATTCCGAAGCGATCCGCATAGTCTTGCAAATTTTCGATGTAACCGATCCACTGAATGTAGTCCTTGTTAGGGACGAGATGTTTTGCGAAAAATGGAAGACAGGTTTCAAGTTTGCCTTTCTGAATGATCTTGATAAATCTTGACTTGATAAATCGGTTTCGAAACTGACTTCAATCCAAAAAAGGCGAAATGGGACACCGTTTGCTATAATGGAATTCGCGTGGCTTAGGAACACTGAAAAGTGGTTATATATTTGAAAAGTTTTATATAGATCAATTTTTCCAGGACAGATCTGCCCTGCAGGTCTCTGCTGGTTTTGGCTTGGTTTTGGCTTGATTTTGGCTTGGTTTTGGCTTGGTTTTGGCCCATAACAAGTACCTGAACCAGTCAGAAACAGAGCATTTTCCTCGTGATTTGATGATAGACTTGATTATCGAGATTATCGATATCGAAAGCATGCATTATCGATAAGCTTAGGCTCAATCAAAAGCTGACATTCTTGACTTTACAATGAAAAAATTTGCAGCGTGATAGCTGTTCTGGAAACCGAGATTTGAGAGGTTAAACATGAGCTTGCCGTTTGTATCGATAAGCAAGTCTACTCGTGATTAATGCGCTTTAAAAAGGCTACCGTGGTTATGCGAATTTATTTATTCTACAAAACTAAAAGTTATTTAGTTGCTTTGAAAGTATAATTTGTACCAATTTGTACCGCATTAATTTAGACAAATCTTGATTAATTGAGCTTTAATCGATTCAAAATCTGTTTATCTTTATACAAATTTGTTGAATTAATTATTTAATCACGAGAAACAAACACTAGTCAGAAGTCTGGTTTGATCTTGGCCTTGGTCTAGTTCCTGCCTGGCACCTGAGATCCACCTGGTTTTGGCCTGGACCTGATTCTGGCTCTGAGCCTGGCTCTGATCCTGGCTCTGATCCTGGCTCTAACCCTGGCTCTGAGCCTGGCTCTAACCCTGACTCTGATTCTGGCTCTAACCCTGGCTCTGATCCTGGCTCTGATTCTGGCTCTGATCCTGGCTCTAACTCTGACTCTGAGCCTGGCTCTAATCTTGACTCTGATCCTGGCTCTAACCCTGGCTCTGATCCTGGCTCTGATCCTGGCTCTAACTCTGACTCTGAGCCTGGCTCTAACTCTGACTCTGAGCCTGTTCATGGCCTAGTTCTGCCCTGAGCCAATTTACTATCAAACAGCTATGCCAAGCCTGATTCCAATCTAGTCACCTTCAATAAGCATTCCCATCATTTCAAATCCTTTCTGTGTACAATCGATATCAGTGAAGAAATAGATGGCTTTTGCCGTATTGTTGTCCAATTTTGTATTCGCCAGTTCAAACAGATTCCACAACGTATTATCCATAGCGGTGGCATTGTTCATGTATTCACTAAACAATCAATCAAAATCGAACTAATCAATAGGAAAACTTTGGCCCAAGATTGTATTGCTCTAAACGACTCGGGATGAGTGCCTGTGGGTCGTCCATTCGAATCGCTGTCGAAGCCCAGTCGTCCGGGTAAAGGAAAACGATTTTGCTGAAGTGAAAAGGGTTGATAAAGGTGAGCAATTTTTAAAACAAAACTGTCTACGACAGCTTTATTTGCAGTACCTCAAAGGAGTGTCGCCTTTCGCTACAAGATGTGCCTGATAATCTCCACAATTTTCCATCAGTTTCGACAAAAGTGTGCCCACCGACCAGTAGCTGGTCGATTGATTTCTGAACGGTTTTTGAAAAGAAAGAATTTTGCAAAATGGTTACTCCCAATTCGAGATCATTCCATAGAAACCCAAATTCCAAATCGTGCACTCAGCGTCTTCCATTTTTCCCTTTGATGAGACTAAATTTTTCAAATCACCATCAAGAATGTGACACCCGGGATCTAGAGCTACGCAAGGCAAGGCCAGATCCACAGCAAAGTCAGGCAAGCAAAGCCAAAAACCAGATCAGGCAAGGCAAAATCAGAAACCAGACCAGAAGCCAACAAATCTTGGTTTTGGCCTGAGCTTCTTTCGGGAAAATTATTTTGGTATAATTTTTTAATTATTTTTAACAACAAATTTTGGGTTTTAACTTTTGGATTTTGCCCTTAGCTTGGTTTTGCCCTGAGCTTGGTTTTGCCCTGACTCGAGAAAATTACTTTGGAGCTATCAATTTGGAGCTTTGGAAGAATTTGGAACTTTGGAACTATGAATTTGGAAATTTGGAACTATCAACTTGGAGCCTTGGAACTATCAATTTGGAACTATGAATTTGGAGCTTTGAAACTATCAAACTCACCATCCAAACAATCCTCTTCATATACTGAAAAGCTTAGATTCACAAAAAGTAATAGTAAAATCAATTTCAATTTCATTTACTTTGGTGGTGAGTTTCTAAAAAAAAAAATGGGGTTCAATTTCTTGACGCCTAATCCGATTTCTTATCAAAATTTACACACACCCAAAGCATAACAAAGCATTTGGCAAAAAGGAAATCTTTAATAGAATGGAGAAGTTCCGATGACTGTGAAATCGTTTGAAAAGTCTCGTCGAATATAAAAAGAAAACAGTCGGCAAACACATAAAAAATTGAGTTTAGCAACACGAGTTTAGCGCGAGATGTCTGATCCAAAAAACAGCAATTAGACTACGATTATTTTATTATAAATAAGATTTACCTACTGTAAAGAATCATGGATACATCATCCATGATTCTTTACGGGATCTTTACGGGATCTTTACGGGAAAATGGGATCATGCATTATGCCGATCTGAACGACACTGATCTCACAGGAGATTCGGGTGGAATGGTTTGGTTTAGAGATTCTTTCCTTGGCTTAGAGATCCTAGATTCTTAGAGATCCTAGATTCTTAGAGATCCTAGATTCTTAGAGATCCTAGATTCTTAGAGATCCTAGATTCTTAGAGATCCTAGATTCTTAGAGATCCTAGATTCTTAGAGATCCTAGATTCTTAGAGATCCTAGATTCTTAGAGATCCTAGATTCTTAGAGATCCTAGAGCTCAGGCTGCAGATCTACATGGTGCATTTGAAGCGGAAGCCAAACTTCTACATCTATGAATTCCCTGCTTTTTGCTCACGCTTCTCTCGGTAAGCGGCTGCTTTTGGACGGCGAATCTGAAAGAAGAGCAGCTGGCTAAGGTTAGGAAAATGTGTTTCTTTTTTTGAAACTTTTGCTTTTTTATAGGGTGACTCTTAATTATAGGTGCAGATAAAAAGCTTTATAGGTAGACAAAATTAAACTTTATAGAGCAAAACTTTTGTTTTAAAATCTTTATTTGATATCAATGAACAAAAAAAATTAGCAAAATTAGCAATTAAATTTAAAGCGATCACCATTTTTAAATCGAGCACGCTGTCAAGCGTTTAGGTGTTTAAGAAAGGCGTCAAGTGGCGATCAAGTAAGTATCATCGAGTTCTCAGGCTTTCAGAAGACTTTTCTTCAAACTTTTAAGATTTGATGCGGTTTTGAGAAGGCTTTTGCCTCAAGAACGAACCAGAAAGAATAACCTATCGGATCAAGCTGGGTTTGAACAAACATTGTGCGTATTCTCAGTAATGTTTATTGCAATAGAAATGAAAACAAAATAAGCTTTTGATCGCTAAGTGGTCATCACGGTGACAGTGAGAAAATCGCCGTTGGGAGCGACGACGGTGCAGTCGATGGAATTCGGTGTTGCTCCAGCTGTGCAAAGCCTCTACAATTGCATTTTGATGCGCTTACACTTTGTCCCTATTTTTCTTCTTGTTCTTTTTTTTTGCATTAATTATTTGACTTCAGAAAATGTCCGAGTTTATTCTTTGTACAGAAGAAGTAGCGGTTACAGTACAGTAGGGTTTTTTTTAAAAGTTTAATCACCGGTACTTGTCCAAGCGGGCAGTAGAGTGATTGACAGGTACCGATTTGCTGAAAAACGTTGATAGATTCCTGTGTGTTTATGCTAAAACCTGTTGTTGAAGAGTTGTTGATGGAGAGAGAAGTGAGGATAGAGAAGGCAGTTGCAAAGGACCACAGCACACCTGAAAACCATAATTTGTTAGCATTTAATTCTCAAAATACCTGTCCAAGTGAGCATTGCAACTGGCCATAGCAGGGAATCCCATTCTAAAAGGACTTTTTCAAAGCAAATCTTAAGAACTACTTGTGTCAATGGATTTCCGCCGATTTGGCCTGGTTGTGCCCCATTGTATGGGTTGACCAGTTGAGCATCGGCAAAGTTAAGCTGAAACTTTAGTTGTTTAGGACTCTAGTTGTTTAGGACTTTAGTTGTTTGGGACTTTAGTTGTTTAGAATTTTAGTTGTTTAGAGCTTTAGTTGTTTAGAAATGTACCGAATAGACATGGTTCTTGGTCCAGATCTGACCAGACCAGTCAAATTTCGCTTGTCCTAGGCCTGGAACCAGATCGAAGCCGAATCGGAACAAACCAAAATGTACTTACTTAGACCATGTCTTGTACAGACTTTGAAAAGTGAATAAACCTATTCTAGGGTAACGGATGATTGCAGTACTCATCAAGACTATTCAATAGTCTTGAACCTCGGATTAAACTGAACCTCGAGTTAAACTGAAGGCTTTGATTGAAACTCTCACTGTCACTAAACTGTTTAAACTGAACCCTCACCGAAAACGAGTTATATAAAGTAAACAATGACTCACTGCCTAATAAACGAGCTCTATAAAGGAATTCTTTGACTTCAAGATGTTCCCGATTAACTCACCAGGGCAATTAAGGCAATAAGACGGGAAAGCATTGTGAATAAGAATGTTCTGCTATGTCCATTGCTAAATTTTCTCGTACAAATACCCAGCAATGTTTTCAGTTTATGTTTTTGTATCATATTTGCGAACAAATAAAAGTAGCTAAGTCTGATTCAATTTTTTTGTTCAAAAATGGCATCAAAACAACAACTGTGCAAACATTGATGAACGAGATTGATGTACACAAAAATTCTAATAATGATTAGGTAATTGTTTTTGGTATGTTAATCAAGTTTACTCCAGAGGGACGACCTGTTTCTAACTCCAAATGTTTCTAACTCTGACTGACTGACTCTAACTGAGCTTTAACTGTTTCTAACTCTAACTGAGCCCTTAACAAATTTTTTGAGAAACGTTCTCTATTAGGAAAGTGGCCAGTGGAAAGTGACAATGAAAACGACTTGATGAAATGTTATGAAAATTTTTCGATCTGAATAACTTTTCATTCTTTATCTTTTGTCTTTTGACATCAAAATAGGTTCCTGTGACAAAAAGTGCTCAAATCAGAACTTTGAGTTTAATCGTTGACTGCTCGACTTGCTCGACTTGCTCGACTTGCTCGACTTGCTCGACTTGCTCGACTTGCTCGACTTGCTCGACTTGCTCGACTTGCTCGACTTCCTCGACTTGCTCGACTTCCTCGACTTCCTCGACTTCCTCGACTTGCTCGACTTGCTCGACTTGCTCGACTCCTCGACTTTACATCTTTAAAAAATCCACTAACGCGAGTTTTTCTGAATTTCTCTAAGGACAATTTGTCAATAAATAGTAAGACTTTTTGATAAAAGAAATCATAGATAGATTAGTTCATTATTTATTTCAAAAAGTAGTCTTTAAAAAAGCGGACAGGATTTTCGAGTGAACCTGATAACTCGAAAAAGGCTAAGTGATCACTTGTATCGTAATTCTCGGCATAGCTATCGACGTAAGATAAAGAAGAGAATCGTAAGATAATCTTCTCAAAGATATCTTCTATCTTCTGTAATATCTTCTATCTTCTATGATATCTTCTTTCGCAAAAGATATCCTCTGTCTTCTATGATGTCTTCTATCTCAAAGATATCTTCTATCTTCTGTACTATCTTCGTACACTCATAATACCTTACTACTCGTATATCTTCTGTACTATCTTCTGTACTATCTTCTATAATATCTTCTGTACTATCTTCTGTACTATCTTCTGTACTATCTTCTGTACTATCTTCTATAATATCTTCTGTACTATCTTCTGTACTATCTTCTGTCCTATCTTCTATCTTCTATAATACCTTCTTTCCCAGATATCTTCACAAAACGCCTATCTTCTTTGTTTTGTTCAGAAATTTTAAGAAAAAAACAATAACTTTGTATTGACAACCGGTTTTTATAGAATTTTGAGATCCTCTTATTATCTATTGGGTTGATGCATAATTATCCGGACTTCTTTGCGGCTGTATCTTTTGTTTTGAAAGCTGTCTATTTCTTTTAAATATTCGTTACTCTTTAGTGAACAAAATGCGGTCGACAACAACCACTCGCCAACATGCTCTACCACTTCGAAAAGGGAGGTCTGCCGCAGAGTCGTTTCGCGACTCAAAGAACTAGACCCCAACGGACACCACGCAATCGACGCTCAAAATTGGCAAACAAATAAGACTACAACGATTTGGATGACTTGATAGACGATGTTAAAGCGTGGATTGCCTCCAAAGATCGTTTATTCTTCGCTCGTGGAATCGATCGTCTTCCAAGCAAATGGCAATCAGTTATTGATGTAGGCGGTGAATATGCTCCAGAATAATCAATTAAACATATTTTTCTAACTATTTATGTTATTTTTGTTAACATTTTAAAGGGGAATTTGCATCAACCCAATATTTTAGTTATTCGGAATTATTTAGATGTGCTTTTGTTATTTTAGGATTGAGAGCATTGCAGACACCTACGAGCCTTGGAGATCTGGATAAGAACATTATATTCATTTTTATTTCTATCCATTCTTTGCATGCCCCTGTATATTCTTTTTATTGTTTTACGTGATCAAGTAAAGTTGATAAATCAATGAAAAGATCTTTTAGCTTGAAAAGCTCTTCATTCTTATCGCTTCCAAACCAAACGGCAAGAATTCAAGCCAAAAACTGAAAACAACTGACCTCTAGAACATTGAACAGCTCAAATTCGGAATATTTCGTTTATCAGTGGCTTTCTCGTTGGTTTCTCATGGCGGTGATAACTTTTTGCCAACCGATTTTGTATAGGAATTTTCAAAAGCCTTCAAAAGCCTTATCAATTTTTCTCTAGTTCATTTCTTGAAACACTAGACTATTTGTATGGTTTATATGGATCTAATATAATATCTAATATAATATAGTAATAATAATATAGTTTTTTAATAGCTTGAAACCTTTTTATCCATATATCTTCACACTTTTAAAATTTAAGTTTATGAGACTTGGGCTGTTGTTGGCAATCTGGGTGGCGACGGGAAGTGGATGCTCGTGGGATGTAAGTCTGAGAGTCTGAGAGTCTGAGAGTCTGAGAGTCTGAGAGTCGAGAGTCTGAGTCTGGAGTCTGAGAGTCTGAGAGTCTGAGAGTCTGAGAGTCTGGGAGTCTGAGAGTCTGGGAGTCCGGAGTCTGAGAGTCCGAGAGTCTGAGAGTCTGAGTCTGAGTCTGAGAGTCTGAGAGTAAGAAAGCCTCAGAGTCTTAGAGTAAGAAAGCCTCAGAATCTGAGAGTAAGAAAGCCTCAGAGTTTCACGTTAAATTTGATTTTGTATTATTTTATTTTGTATTACTTGACTTTGTTGTACAGAAAACGTTCTCAGTGCGGTTTTCAAGCTGCTATTTCTGATCAGCAGCAGCTCTGTCGCCAGTTAGAGGCGAAATGATTACCTCTAAACATTCTAACAATTACAAATATCAAAGTGCAAGCTTTAAGAAATCTATTTTCTGTGCAAGCACCTATTTTACCCCATTGACACCAATTAGCACCAAAACCAAAAAACAAACTTATCAAAGATGACTTTAGAATTGCAACCCGATCTCTAGCGATTCGAACGTGCTAAACATTCACTTGGTGTGCCACAGTCATGATGATCTTGGGTGGTTGAAAACCGTCGATCAATACTATGAAAGCGGTTTCGATTCAGATGAATATAATGAGTAAATCAAATGGCTTTAGAAGTCCAATTCATCTATGACACCGTGCTACAAGAGGTTGAGAAGGATCCAACAAGAAAGTTTGTGGCTTTTGGCTTTGGCTTTAGCTTTGGCTTAGGCCTTGGCTTTGGCTTTGGCTTTGGCCTTGGCTTTGGCCTTGGCTTTGGCCTTGGCTTTGGCTTTAGCTTTGGCTTTGGCTTTGGCTTTGGCTAAAACCTGAATAACCTTTAATATTAATGACTGCAATATATAAGCTTTTAAGCAAGCACTAAAGATTACTATAGACTCTCCTTTGCTAATTACTCTAGATTCTCTTTTGCCGAGACGGGCTTCTTCATGCGATGGGTGGAAAGCCGAAACGCAAGTATGCTTCAGCGATGGCAAAAGCTCGTTCAAAGTGGTAAGTAGGCAGAAAAAGGGCATTTTGAAGAAAGATTCTTATTCTTTTTCTAATTTTCTTTCAAAATTCAAATAACTAATTACAGGTCAAGTCGAGGCGATCGGCGGTGGATGGGTGCAAAATGATGAGGCTGCCGCTCACTATGTGGACATCATCGATCAAATGACTTTGGGGTGAACATCTAGTCATTCTTTAAGCTTTTTATAACCGTAACCGTACAGTAAACTAACAAGGAAAGGTCAAGCGGGCAAAGTGGTCAAACGAACCATATACGATTCGATGCAGAATTATTCGCTGATTCCGAATCTGCTTTCCGTTTCTGCTATGGAGGACTCTGTGTTAAGATATAAGCGTGCAAGTTTTGTATGGGATTTCAAAAATCATTCCTTGAGCTTAGAAGCAGATTTTCCAGAGTCTTTAAGAAGCAGTGGTGGACGAGTGGTATAGTCGGCTAGAATGCAAGGCAAACCCTCTCGGGCTCGAGTCCGCACAATGCTTGAGTCCGCACAATGCTTGAGTCCGCACAATGCTTGAGTCCGCACAATTCGCGTACAATGTCGCGAAAATTTGAAGTTTTAGATTTTAATGATTATTGTTTAGTGTTAATATTTAAAAGTAAACATTTGTCTGAGAAGTAGTTTGAAAAAGACTTTTATTTGAAATGGAGATCATTTACCTCTAAAAAAGCAAAAGAAAATGAAGCTGCGGACTCGAACCCGAGAGGGTTTGCCTTGCATTCTAGCCGACTATACCACTCGTCTACCACTGCTTCTTAAAGACTCTGGCAAATCTGCTTCTAAACTCAAGGGATAGTTTTTGAAATCCCATACAAAACTTTGCACGCTTATATCTTTTGACAGAGTACTCCATAGCAGAAACGGAAAGCAGATTCGGAAACAGCGAAAAATTCTGCATCGAATAATATATGGCTCGTTTGACCACCTTGCCCACTTGACCACCTCGCCAGCTTGACCTTAAGTAAACTAACGAATCCGTGAAAATCGTTAGAAAACAAGAAGGAAATTTCATTCTCTGTACCTAATCGGCAAATCGATCCATTCCATTCTCTGTACCTAATCTGCAAATCGATCCATTCCATTCTTTGTACCTAATCGGCAAATCGATCCATTCCATTCTTTGTACCTAATCGGCAAATCGATCCATTCCATTCTCTGTAACTAATCGGCAAATCGATCCATTTCATTCTTTGTACCTAATCGGCAAATCGATCCATTCCATTCTCTGTAACTAATCGGCAAATCGATCCATTTCATTCTTTGTACCTAATCGGCAAATCGATCCATTCCATTCTCTGTACCTAATCAGCTCAGAGACAGACTGGTCACTTTTTAGACTAAAAGTTTGAATTGAAAACATGTATGTAAATATTTTGTATTTAATTTTTTTACAGTTATGAACATCTAAAATCCCTCTTCGGTGAGTGTGGAGCACCGCAAG